CTGTCTCGGGGAAAAAACAAACAAACAAACTGGTATTTGGGGCTGGAGACTTAACTCGGTGGTAGTTTGCTTAGTGTGCCCAGGGTCAGGGTTTGAACTTTCACATCAGGAAAGAATGGGGCATGTTAAATAGCCTTAAAAACAATAATCACATATATTCTGAATGTTAAAAATGTAATCATGCTAATGTATGTATGACGAAAATTAAACGTGATTCATTACCTAATATTGGAAAAAGCCCTGAGATATGAAAACATTGAAGTAAATGTCTTCATATATTATCAATATCAACTATGTTTGTTTTGATACAGGATTTCACTATACAGTGCTGGCTGGGGTCCAAATCAGAGATTCTTGAGATTCGAATCACCATGTCAGGCTTAAATATCTTTAATCCTTTCAAATGTTTCTGAGGTTTTTAAAAAGATGTATTTATTTATTTATTTTTATTTATGTGTGCATGCACACACACACAAGGGCCAGGAGGTCAAAAGACAATGTCTGATCGCCTGAAGCTAGAGTTAAAAATGGGTTGTAAGCTACCTCATGTGGGTACTGATAACTGAACCTGTGTCCTTTGCAAGAACGGCAAGTTCTTTTAACATATAAGCATTCTTTCCAACAATTTAATATTGACCATAATGTTGATTAACTTGGGCACAGCACTTACATGTTTCATGTATTTAAATATTTGACATTTCTATTTAATAACTTGATTACTATAATGTTTTTCCGTTTGAGTGTTTGTTTTAGACAGGCTGTAGCTCATAGTGGCTATGTGATATTAAACTCCTGATGCTCCTGCTTCCACTCCCCTAGAACTGGGATTTTAGACATGCATCAGTATACTCAGCCATAATTACTTTGAATTTTTATTTCCATTAGTGAGATGTTCTTTAAACCAAGTAATAAGAGGAACATGAAACATATAAAACATCTGTAATGCAAATATTTGTATTACTTGTAAAGATAAAAATACAAATTAGAAATATAGACTATAAAAGAAAAACAATAGTAATTGAAAAAAAACTCAGGACCTGGGAAGCAGACAGTGCTCTTCACTGCTGAGCCATCTCTCCAGCCCAGAAAATGTGCTTTTGTTGTGTTGTGGTTTGCTTTTTGTCTTTTCAAAGGTGTCCTATCCTCTTGGAACAAGACTTACAGGCTCATTGGTAATGAACTGCCTGATGTAGACACTGGTAACAGACCCAAGTTCTTCTTACAGGTTCTCTACAAGAAGCGAAAATGTTCTTCACCCTTGAGCCATGTTTCAGGCTTTTAAAAAAGTTTATATTAAAATTTTTATGTCATATTCAATGGCAAAGAATCCCAAACATAGCCAAGCAGTGGTGGTGCACACCTTTAGAACCAGCATTTGGGAGGCAGAGGCAAGTGGATCTCTGTGAGTTCAAGACCAGCCTGGTCTACAAGAGCTAGTTCCAGGACAGGCTCCAAAAAAAAAAAAAAATCCCAAACATACTAACAGATAACATGTGAAAAGCATCACCAGGTAAATATGTTTTGAAGAGTTCACTAAAAATTGTCTGTCATATTCAATTGATCTTGTTTTCATAAGTGAGATAAGTCTTGAGAAGTCAGTATCATTATCTATATAAAGAATAATGTACATATCAATATCAAATTCCTCTAAAATCTTCCACTGTACTTAACTCTCATTAAAACCTTATATTTAGAATAAACTGCCAGTGATCCCATCCAAGCAACTGAAATGTTTCTCCCTACAATCTGATCTTAGCTGTAATTTTTTTTTAACTTACTGATATAAAGAAGCTGATAGGAGTATTAGCTATTAGCACTTATAAGATAATTGTATTCTAGTTGATCAGGAATACTTGCTTCAATTGGGACAAATCTTTGTGCTCTACATTAGATTCTTGAGCAATTCCTATGAGATGGGAACATACAAAGTGCAATAACAAAATGGTTACCTAGCATACATAAGCTAAAACAAGTGAAATGTGACAAAATTCACAAAGTTAATAGTTATACATGATTAGTAATTTAAAATGTGTTACTGAACATCCTCAATTCATTATTAACATGAGTCAGAATAGATCGGTCAATTTTCTAACCAAAACACATGATCATTTAAAACACATAACACTAGAAATCACATGAAGATTGTCATTTTAAACCACCAATGGTCACTCCTTTTACCTGTTATCTAAAGATAGGGGAGGCACAGCCCTATGCACATGTCCACCTTCAGGCTTTAGATATCACAAGAACTACAAGTCTCATTACAGTAATGCCAACAGATTTAAGTATAATTATAACAAGTCTACAGAGCTATATATAAAATTTACTACAAAGAACTACCTATTAAAACAACTCAATTGCTATGAAATAAAGAGGATTCCTTTGTAGGAATTATCTCTAAGAAAAAGAATTATTGGGTTCCTTGGCATCAATTTTAAAGATTAAAGATCCTCAAAATCATTTATTTTGGTTCATCAAATATGTAACATTAAAAATGTGCTCGGAATACTATGTACTTTGGGGTACAAACAAGAGCATCATGATAGCGCAACCAACAAGGAAAGCACTTGTCCCTCAAGCCAACCAAGCTCAACACCTTCTCTCTCACTTGTGGAGTGAAAGCCAACTCTACAAGACCACAACACACACAACCATGCACACATCACCTACAGACACACAAATAACAAACTATCTTTAAAAGCCTACCTGACATAATATTTCACAAAAGCTGGTCTAGCTAAATATTTAAATTTTCTAACTATGATTCAAACATATTCTTATATAGCAAACTAGTATAAAAATATAATGCAGGAGGCAGAGGCAGGTGGATCTCTGTGAGTTCGAGGCCAGCTTGGTCTACAAAGTGAGTTCCAGGACAGGCTCCAAAGCAATACTGAGAAAGTCTCAAAAAAACAAACAAAACAAAACAAAACAAAACAAAAACCTACATTTACAACCTTCTGTCTTTTACTTTGACTAAAATCAGTAGGAATTCTGCCTTTTTCAATGTAATAACGCACATTATGTATAATTATTTGTCAATCTCAATTTTAAAAGCTAAAGGCCTTCATTTAAGCACTGTCCTTTCACATGTACAGAGCTATATAAGGGGAAATATTAAAAAGCAATGTTTAAGCTATTTAATAGATGTGATTAACATTCCTATATATACTGAATTAAAAATATATTGCTGGGAAACTTCATATACCTAGCACTTTCTAAAAAGTGGATGCTTCATAGGTCTAAGCACTAACACAGCTTAATAAAATGGCTAGTATTTTAACATAGCTCTATTTCTTTTTAAAATGTATTTTAAACTGGGTGGTGGTGGCACACTCCTTTAATCCCAGCACTTGGGAGGCAGAGGCAGAGGCAGGGGGATCTATGTGAGTTTGAGGGCATCCTAGTCTACAAAGGGAGGGCCAGGACAGGCTCCAAAGCTACACAGAGAAACACTGTCTCAAAAACAAAAAATTATTTTATTTGTACTCATACATATGTATACACACACACACACACACACACACACACACACACACACACACCCAAACAAATAAAACCAAATTATAACAAGGTGTGATCAAACAAAGAAAAAAGTGCTTTTTTTTTCATTTCTCATCTATAAAACAAATTTATGACATCATAAAGAACAAATTAACAACCTAAAAAAGGTTCAAAGGGGAAGAGTCCAAGAAAATAGATTTCATCACCTTAGTTATTCAATATAAGAAATTAAAAAAAAAACATCAGAATATGCAACATAAACTTAACAGGCTATATCCAGGCATCTATTTACTATTCAAGTTGTTTCATTTCACAGATGTCTATGCTTCCACTGTGAACATCCAGTAATAACAACCAGGCCTTTAGGAGTGGGAAACACAAACCACACAGCCAAGTCAGAAAGCTCTCAAGTACTAGAGCACAACAGATTAAACAGAATGGTTTCCTATGCTATAGATGTAATTTAAAATGATCATCCCAAAGAGACTTCAGTATTTCAGACATGAATCCACGCCAGTCAACATGCATCATTTCCCATCATTTCCTTTTAACTTAGGTAGCAAAGCAAATAAACCCCTTTCCTCATAGCCTCCTTCTGTCCATGACTACCTCACTAGAGAACTTCTGTTTCCTTACTTGAAAACTATAAACTCTTCTCAACTCTGAAGCAATTAGTTAATAGAAAGGGATTTATGAGAAAAAGGTATTTATTGTTTCCTGGGGAAATGTTTTTTAAATGGGAAACAATGATCTTCCATTCGGTATTTAAGCATTTTTAAAAACTATACCACAAGTGTAGAAATTTACCACATACCAACTATCAGGTTTTAAACAGCCTTTGGCTACCTTTTTTTTCTTTTTTTAAGTTCACTCTCTTAAAGAGACAGTATCCCTGGATCAATGAACTAAAAGGAACAGTTCTTAAAGGTATAGGTACCAAGAATCTTTTCTGGCATGTCTTCATATACACTCTTCATTATCGGTTTTCTATTTCATTTTACTATATAAAACCAAATTATTTTGACATAGACCAGCAAATGACTATAGATGATGAAACAGTATAGATGGTACTGTCGTTAGAGGTATCTAAATATAGGGTACCCATACTTTCTTACAACAAGCTAATTGTTTGGCTTTTTAAAAACTTTCAAGGGTCCACGGGTGCTTCTTCCTGCATTTCCCATTCATTCTTTAGGCACAGGCAATCTGATGCCAATAATACTGGATGTTAGAATGCAATTTCATTGTCCAATGAAAGGAAGGTTTATTAAATTACATCAATGAGTGAAACATCAGACTTCACTTTTTATCTAGAAAAATTTATACTAGAAGGAACTCGTATACATGCCCTAAAAACTGAACAATCACCTGATTTTAATGAATATTTTCATCTTTCAATATATTTAAGAGGGCATTTTTTACGTCTATTAGCATAACCAGAGACCAGCTCCCACACATGGAACCAGGCAAAGAGGGGATTAAAAAATCTGGCTTACTTGGTGTACAAATACATCCACTGGAATATCCAAGGGGTCTCCCTCTCGGTTTATCATGGAGATGAATCCAAATCCCATGCGCACATTGAACCACTTACAGTGGCCAGTTCCGTGCAGAACCTGGGACTCCTCCTGGGGCGGCTCAGGCAGCTTTTCTGGCTCTTCACCTTTGCTTGCCCCGCCTGACGTGGAATAGGACAAAAAGTCGGTTAGTCTGCATTTCTACACTGTGCTCAACCAAAAATTAAAGTAAAATAAATCTTTTGCTTGTGGAAAGACTAAGAGAAGCGAGAAAACAAAAAGTTGGTAAATATTTTACTTCTTTAAAAAAATGCCTAAAACGAAAAGGGTTAAAAGCAAAGCCAGCGAGAGGAAGCCACAGTGCTGCACCGCTCACACCAGCTTCCACGTTTCTGTACATCCGCATACTTTTTGATCTATCTCCGTTGCTCCGTAACATTGTACAGTTACAGCCTGTGACACTTCACTCACATATTGCTGACCTAATACTATTCCAATTTACACTGAGTAATTTTTCAGCAAGATTAGTTTTTCTAGCAAGCAGGAAGAGAAAAGAGAAATCCCTAGAATGGTTGGTTACTGGTTAATGCACATGCGGCAGACGGAATCCCGGGGTATTTGCAATGTGCATTCATTCCCCTCCCCCTAACTTTCAATTAAAGTTGGGGTAGAATGGGGGAGGGGGCAGGTGTATAAAAGTTTTCTTGGGCTCACTAATTGAAACTGCGCGTAATCACACGCACACAATTCAAACAATAGCCCCCTGAAAGCTTTTCAAGTTGTGAATCAGTGTGGGCGGTACAAAACATTTTGGAGATCAGTAACAATAGGTTTTTGCCGAATCCCCACGGCACTATGAGGGGGTGGGGAGGTAATGCCCGGTTATTAGGGTAAAGGGGGACAGGCGAGCAGGGTTGAGAAACTGGGTAGTGAGGAGAAGCAGGGGAGAAAAGAAGAAAGAAATCACAGTAAAACAATAGAAAAGAAAATTAACCTTCGGCCATGTTGCCCCACCGGCCCTCAGCTTCAAACTCGAGAGATGAAAACTTTCCCTTTGGACCGGAGTGATCTTCAACATCCGCCTAACATCTTGATTTTGTGCGATCACGAATTTAGTTCGCATGGTCTAATGTGCTTTCCTTCTTTTGATTTTTTTTTTTTTTTCCTCTTCTCTCTCCAGTTTCTGGCCCCCTTGAGCACACGTGACTTTGTCAATTACATGCTTTCTTGCTACTAATTTCACCTCGGATCCTTAAGGGGCTGGCAAGAGGAAGAGATAACCAATCGCCATTTCATCTGTGCTGACATCAAAATAATTTATGAATGAACACGGAAAACTCAAACATGTTCCCTTAAAGACAATTTGGGCCGCTTCTTTACGATTAATCAGAATGCTAATTTTATACTATTTAAACACAACCAAGGGTCCTTGTGAACTGCTGGTTTAGAAAAGTGATAGTCGGTATTTGTGCACACTCGTGCTCCACATACAAGCCTCTCTAATCTCACAGGGGGAGCCATTTAAATAAAGCAACTGACGTTATGATTCCCGCACACACCACACGGGCAATCTGCTATTCCATAGAACCAAGCCACCTTAGGGACATTAATTTAATATTTAATTCGTGGAGAAAAATATATAATTCCTAAGCCAAAATTAAAAATTATGTTGACCATTAACTTCAGATATTGGTACCAAAAGGCAAAAAGCACACCTAATTACAACCTGAAATTTTTTTCAAATTTAAAATAAAATCCTACAAAAAAAAAATCGGTGCTCATTTCCTATCAAATAGGGCTTTCATTTCAGAATATTTTTGAGAGGTGTAGTAAGAAATTGTACATCACAGGTTTCTCCGCCATCTCTTTCCGGGGGAGGAGATGTGATTAATGACTTCCTAAATAACAGCCCAGTTTTCCAGCCTAACATAGAGTGAACCTCAATCAGTGGTGATTGTTCCCCAAGAGCAGGAGACTCAGGCAGAGGGGGAGGGGAGAGGCGTGAGGAGGTGAAGAAGGATGCAGGGGAGGCGACTGTAGAAGAAAAAAGCTTGCACTGCTGGGGTGGGGAGAGGGCACACTGGGGAAAGGTAAATCGGTGTAATATTAACTGGACCCTGACATCTTATAAGTCTATTGCCAGAAAGCAGAATGGTCAAATACACGTTATTAAACACGTGGGTTCGTCCTGTCCCTTCCTGTTGCCCCCTGCATCAAAACACTTTTTGATTTTCAAATTGGATTTATTGTGTTTATAACAATATTAACCACCTTACCAAAATTTCAAAAAATATATATTAACTAGAAATGCTTCGCTTCTTTAAAATATAAAATATTACCTGTGTTGAAACATTATAAGGCTTCTACCAGTCTTTTGCTGCCCCATCCCCCATTTTCTTAAACAAGCAGTTTACAGAAAAACTGTAGATACCACTTCCCTTCTTCAAAGCTACCAGCAGACCCTCCCCCACCATGCCCGAACCCCCTCACCCCATCTCTCCAAGCAAGCTCACATCTAACAATGCTTTACACAAACTAAAATATTGGGATTATGAGAAAGCCATACACCTATTAACAACCCTTCTCATACTGAAAAACTAAAAATAAATTTAAACTAATTGGCTCAGATCTGAAAATAATAAGTGCATAAAGAAATTATTTTCAGCTGTTTGTGATAAATGGTGTCAATTAAAACTGATCAATTTGGAAAGATCTTTTTCATCTGTTTCTTTTGTTATCCTTAGGAAGGAGGCAAGCTTTTATTTGTTTTGAGAAGGGTAACAATGTGCCAGCTGGTGGAGAGAAAAAAACCTAAAAATTCAAACCATTCTCCAAGTGTAACAAGTCCCACACTCTGAAGAGGCTGTTTGCTAACAAAGCATTTACTAAACAGTATTTTAATAATAGAAATTGATTGCTGCCAAGCTTGTTACAATACATTTTATAATTCTGAATGTTATTTTTTTTGTAATTTAAATAATTTTTTTAAAAATCTAATATCAAATAACCTGAAAAAGTATTCATGTAAATTGGGATTGTGCTATTATTACGAAAAGGTATCATAAAATTAACAGGCTTGTAAATTTTGGGTTGTTTATGTTAAAAATACATTTTATCTACAAGTTTGTTTTATTTTTAAGAGTTTACTAGTGAGAATCAAACAACACTAAGTGGATTCTGAGTCCCTGAGTTATTAAATTTGTCAAATTTCAGATATATTGGTAGTATGAGTAATGTAGGAACACCATTGCTGAACCACACTGGATGGTACAGTACAGGATTCACAGTTGTGCCTGATTAGGGGCCTCCAGTATTCAAAGCATTAAGGTAGGGTTCAACAGACTGGTCACTGGTGTCAGAGGTTATCAATTCATTCACTTCCTGAGAGGGACATCAGCCTTTCAAGTTATGTAGAAGGCTTTTCCAACTGGGAACCCTGAGAAAACCTCTAAAATTCATTCACAAAGAATTTAAGGCACAGCCATTTACATACCTTGGGGGTGGGGAAAAGAGAGGGAAAGAGGCAAGAGAAGGCGAGAAAGAAACAGGAAGGAAGTTGGAAAGGGAGAGAAAAGAAGGAAACGCACAACCTCATCAACTCAGGACTAGGGCACTGTCTTTTAAGTAGATTATTCTTGTCTTCCCCTTCCTGAAATCTTTTGAGCCTTTTTATAAACTGACCATAAGCTCTTAAGGCTCAGAGTCCTCCTTTCACATAAAATGGTTCTTATGAGTCTCCTACAATGCTTTTCAATTTGTCACCTTCTCAAGTCCTCTGGTTTTAATTTTTTTCTCATTTCCTACTTGTTTTTAGTGCCAGAAAGACCTGGGTTTGACTAAAACGCATGTTTTAAACCTTCAAAAGCCAAATGTTTCACTGCTTGATTTATCATAGCTCTTCCAAAGCGTCTTTAAAATTAGCTCAAGTCCTACACTCACTCCTCAACTCAACACTGGAGGGGGATGAAAAGCAATCGATTGATCGCAAGGCCTGGGCTCCCAATTTTTAAAAGGTGGTACACATTTTCTCAGCTGAACCGCACCCCAACAGCATAATGAAGGACCGCCACGCTTGCTTCTGCTGGAAGCAACGTGTGACTTCTCTTAGACATAATCAGGGTTAGGCTCTTGTGAGAGCTGTGAGGCAGTGTGGCACAGCTGAGACGTGACCTGTCTGGTCCTCCAGGGCAACGAGGAAAGGACTGCAGCCCCAGCTCTGCCTCAGCAGCTAGCACCTTCCGGTGCAGCTCCTGCCCCCAGGGTTCCCAAGCCCAATTCCAGAGCCAGCATATCTGCCCCTTCCTTCCTTTTCTTCCAGCAACTGCCTCACCTTTCTGTCTCCTACCACTTTACCCTTCATCCCATATTCCACCATCTTCCCTCTAGAGATCCAGTCATTCCAAAGAAGGCTGTTGTTGTCTTACTAAAGCACTTTTAAACATTTGTCGGCTTGCTCTTCAAAACAAACAAAATTCTTATCATCATCCCAGGACAAAACATTAGACCCAATCTAGACTTTTTTTTTACCTAATTTATGTATATATCACTTATAATTTGACCTCTTTATCTATGAGATGCCAGAACGTTCTAACTCTAAGCAACGTCCAGCGGAGAGTCAAGATAAAATCGGAAAGTGACTGTCCCCCCGCCCCCGCCGGCCATGCTTAAAATGAGCGAACTGCAGAGCCTGCAGTTGGAGAGGGCAAGCCGTGAACACAGGTCCTCAGCGCCTTCTCCAGAGGATCTGGAAAGGAGGGGACTCCAGGCCTGTGGATTTGGGGACCCCCATCTATCCCCTCGTGATCTTCCCGGGCAGCTTGCTATCGACCTGCCCATAGAAAAACAGACTCAATTATACCCACTCCCCGCATAGCAGCGAAGTGCTGGGAGTAACGCATGTGGATTAACACAGGCAGTCGGAGGGACCAGCCCACGACAGAGTGGATCAGGAGAGGCACCCCAAAACCTGAGGGCGTTTGTTTTTGTTTCCAAAGGCAAAATTTCGGTCTCCTTCAGTTTTTTGTTGTTTTTGTTGATGGTGTTGGGTGGGTGTGCGTATTTCGGTCTCGTTCAGTTTTTTGTTGATGGATGGATGGATGGATGGGTGTGTGTGTGTGTGTGTGTGTGTGTGTGTGTGTGTGTGTGTTTAAACCGGGAGACAAAAATGCCCGGACTTCAAGCAACTTTTCTTTTTAGAGTTATACACAGTTGTCAAAACCCTCTTAAAATTTTCCTTAACTGCCTCTTGAACTATATTGCTCCGAGACTATTGTGGTAACAGAGAAACTTGTTACCATAAATCTTAAGGTTTTTGTTCAAATTACTTTTATATTTCAAAAACAAGGTACTTGTAAATGTTTTTTGTGGTCAGATACTTTTTGAGTAAACGAAATTTGGAATAATAAAATTCACAAACAGGGCATTATTTTAAAGCCACCATTGTGTAAAATGTTGTTTTGAAAAACTATCATTATAGTGACATTTTCTTTTTCAATAAAAAATGGAGTATTCTTTTTCTCACATATTTTCTAAGCTATGCTCAACACTTTCTGAAATTATGTTTGTTAAAAGAATAACTCTATGAACAACCCTCTAGTAATAAATGAGCTTTCCATAACTATTCAGAATAGCACAAAAGAACTTTAATTGGAAAAAGTGAGAAGCACTATTTCCCACATGTGCATGTATGCTTCATAATTCTAAGACCATTTTATGGTACATAGAAATGTCTAAGTCTATAAGATGAAAACTCACAATGTACACATATTTATTCTCTCTCCCCTAAAATTATTTACAGGTTAATTATTTAAAACCTCATCTATAAAAACAAATGATCAGCTAAAGAGTATGGTCTACCTCAGAATTATTTCAATATTTACTCTGAAGAGTTTACTTAACACAGCAGGGTTAGGAAGACTGAGAAAGGTGGGAGTAAAAACTGAGAAGAGTGAGAACAGTGGGAAGCAAATCCTGGAGAAAAACCAGACAGCTAAAATCTGGAGGCTGGAGTTACAGTCCCACCATCCTGGCAGCCTCTGGTCACTCACTAAATTGCTGGGGCTTCAGTTTCCCCATCAACTGCATGAAACCTGGTCCCATGGATAGTCAAAGTCTTTCTGTGTA